GTCGTCGTGTCGCGTCTGTGTGTGTGTGTGTGTGTGTGTGTGTGTGTGTGTGTGTGTGTGTGTGTGTGTGTGTGTGTGTGTGTGTGTGTGTGTGTGTGTGTGTGAGCTTATAGGTGTTTTATATTTAGCTTGTGAAAGCCTCTTTATCAATGAAGCCCTCTCTCCTTTCATGTGTGTCTGCACCATTTGGAAATGAAACAGCTTTCATTCACTGCTGCACAAGTGATTTCCTGTTCCCTGTGTAATCTCCACACCTATATTTATCGCTTGAAATCGTTCTAGGTCTACAAATAAATCAGGTACGTTTATCTCCAAAATTCTAATGATTTTTCACTTTAATCAATTTTTTAGTATATTGTAAAAATAACCCATTTTCATTTTTTTGTAAATGTATCAAGAGGGAATCAGAAAAGCAGCAATTTTCTTTTATCCTTTATTTCTTCTTTATATCTCTGGAGATTTCATCTTGATGGGGGATATTTTTTGACACAAGGTGAAATTAAATGCCTTAACAGTTTTATTCAGAAATATAAAAGTGTGTCCAACAAAATAATAACCCTCACTTACATCATCACCCATAACACATTGACCTAAACAAATATACAACTGAGAGCATAACATAAAAAGGTTCTGATGATTTTTTACAAAAGACAGTATTTAATTATATATCAATGACCCATTTTGACAGTTTTGACTGTACCAGGGTGCAGGAATCCTGAAGTCAGATGTAAGACCTCTTAAGACCTTTTTTAAGACCCTTTCCATACATTTTAAGACCTCATCGCCACTTGGAGTTCTAACCGGTTACCGTGGCGACACACTTTACCTCACATTGACTATATACAGTATTGATTGTCCTTCCTCCTTATCTTCCAACCATTTGGACGCAGACTTGCATTTCCCCATAACGATGTTGTTTAACAACCGGCGTAAACGGACCTTCACGCGCTATCAAGCAGTGAGCGTGCGATGTCCTGTTCAGATGACGTCAAATCCAACGGGATGCCATAAATAAACTACACAGAATCACACTACACACCTACGCAATGATTACATTCAGGCAGACTGTAGAACACAACCTCTTTGGACAATTCATATACTTATTGAAAACAAGCTACAAAATGTAATACCTTGGAAAATGCCCTTTAATACTTTTTAATAGCATTGATTTTCGCTAAATTGATTTATCAACTTTTAATACTTTTTAGGACCCCGCGGACACCCTGTGTACCAAGTATATGCAACGAGAAGGAAATTAGAAATGTAGGGATTTTATTTAATATTCTTTCAATGTTGTTCCATATATGGAAGGTGTGTGGTGCAGTGGGTTGTGTGTTGGTGTTTGGATCAGGGGGTCAGGTTCAAACCCCACTGCAGTCAGCATGTCGTTGTGTCCCTGAGACACTTCACCCCAAATTGCTCCTGTGGGGATTGCCCAAAGTATTGAGTATGTTAAGCGTCTAACAAGTGACATGTAATGCTATATATCTGCACGTTACCTTGTAAAAAGAATGAACAAAAAACTCTTTCTTAAATGCCAGGGCTCTAATAAAACCGTTAAGCAGCTTTACCACCCTCTGAATATTTAGTTGTATCGTAGACATGGCAAATCATTGTAAATATGATATTATAAGTTCCATTTTATCTGCATCTATTTTAAGTCTATAATGGACGTATGAAACTCCACCACTGAGCTCTGGCAGGACTTTGGTTCGAGTCCCGATCGGATCAAAACTAGACAGAGAGTGAACTGGAAGTAGGCGGTGCTAGAAAAAACTGGTAATTCAATACTATAAGAAATGTGTGCATGTGTGTATTCAGACCCACTGTGTATAGGATGTATTTGTAATGTACAGTATATAGTGAACACCTGAATTTCTGAACTATGAGGGATCTTCTTCTTCTTCTTCTTCCTGAAGAAATGATTTTCAAAAATGGTTCTTTGTTGT